TAACAAACCTTAGTACAAAATTAGACGGAGAGTCGTGTAGGTGTTACTTGTTTTAAAAGACTGACTGCTTTTACAGCTTTTTCTCAGTGTTTAAGGAATCTAATATAAAGAAGTGGGAAAAGAGAGTTTGGAAAAGCTGGGGGCTGCAACGATCTGTAAATTTGGCGGGGCTATTGTCCTCCGACTCAGCTCTTTGGGTCCCGCAGTTCGTTATCTCGGACTTCCATCGCTGCAGTTCCCTAAGGTTTAGAAAGGACAGATAATGGCCAGATACATAAATTAGGTACAGTGAGATTCCAAGTTACGTCTTCCCAATTTACATGATTTCACAGGTACGTCGTTTCTTTAAAATGCGACATTCAATTATTTTTAACCAAATTTCTTGCTGTATGTGTTTAGTTCGAACTGAATCAGTCTGAAACTTACTTAAGTAAGGAATTTTTATGGATAAATAATTTCAGATTATATAGTTTATACAGTTTAAGAACTTATAGAAAAGTATTTACAGTAAACATAAGTAAACAAATGTAATTAATCGAGAATTAAGACCATTATTTACGTATGTGTAATTGCACCACAGCGTCAGATTTCCCCATGCTTAAATTATACTGTAAAAAAACGAAATACTATAAGTTTAGAAACTAAATTAGAAATAATAAAATTTTTTAATAATGAAATACAAGGTTTTAAAATTAACTGAAATTAAGTTTCTCAAAAACAACTGTGAGGATGGTTCTTAAAGATGAAGAACGTATTTTAATGGCAATAAAAGAAGGCAATTCAGTGCGTTCCAGTATTATCCGTGAACATCGTGATTTCTTCGGATCTTCGTAAACATTCGTTAAATGTAATCTGTTTTATCTTTCTTATATATTTAAAAGAAAATGCATTTCCTAATCTGACAAATACATGTACAAACATGTATGTTCTCATATATGCATACATGTCCACCCTTTGTATCCTGATTTACGTCCTTTTCAACTTACGTTACTCAGTCCGGAACCAATTAGGAAATAAGTCCAGGGCCTCACTGAAAGAAAAGAAGAGTTTTCCGGATACATACCTTTGATGTACACATCTCTGAAGTGGATGTTATGTGGGGCTAAAGGGAAAGGTAATTGTTTGGAATACCTGACTTCGAAGATACTAACTCTGGTCAGTCCCCAAGCGAATTAAAAAGGGGCGCATAAGGATACCAAACACAACACGATCAGCCGTCGATTTTATCGAGTTTCACACAGTTATATCCCTACTTTACAAAATTTTTGAGTCAATCCCAGCAGTTACATACAGGTAACTTCCGCGTAATACGGTTGTTACATTCCTAAAAAATGCCGTGTTAAGCAAATATGTGTCATACACAAGAAAAAACTAGTGCAGAAAAGGGAGTTAGGTTCCAAAAAATAGAAAAACATAATTATCATTTCTGGAAGAGGTTAATAATACACACCCGAAAAATGGTAATATATTTATAATGTAGTAAATAGAATACACAAAGTTTTAAAATGTACTTATTACTCTACGAACAAAATAGGATTTCAAATTCACATAAATTTCTAAACTCTGCAAACAAATCTGATACGACATGCACACTCAAATGAAAAATGTCTAATAAGATATCTTGCGCACTTAAAAACTCTTATTTCGTTTCGTGTTCTACGGGATTTCTTTGAAACTTAAAAATTTTAAGTGTTGTATGAGGATTTCTCTAATCCTCAAATCGTGTTCTAGGATGCTGTGTTATGTCAGGATTTTTCACAATTCTCACATCGTGTTAGAGTGAAACCGTGTTATGCAGGGGTTACCTGTACTCTATATCGTACATATAGAGATGAATTGTACTTACATAATAAAGATCAGCATTGGTCGGTGCATCGGCAGAAGGGAGGGAGACAATGCAAACTGCTACTTCCTCGCCCATTAGCCCAGACCGTGATACTACCGCTCATTTGACGACAACTTAAACATAGTTCTTCTTTGCTTAGATCATAGAAGTAATTGAAGTCATGAATTCAAAAACAGCACAAGGCCAGTAATTAACATTCCGAGAAAATCAATCTTTTTTGTATATCTTCGTTAATTTAATATCAATCTTGATTATTTTCGCTGTGAATATAATACATGTATATATAATATTTTTAACAATATTAGATAACTGGCTTTTGTATAAAAAGCCTTGGAAATCATTGAAAAAAGTATCATGTTAATAACCAATTTAGTAAAAATATTAATGAAAATAAACAAATTACTCTTTATAAATAGATGTGTTTATTCGCTATCCCACATTTCGCTCTGGAAATTATCATTTTTAGTTTTCTAAAAAGATTCTTATTTTTATCATTAATTCTCAAAATATAAACGATGATTCGGGTTCATCGATAACAAATACTTCTTTATATCTTAACATTTTTCAGTTTTTAGCGTAATTACGCTATTATAAGCTAATTTTATTCTGCAAATATTAAAATTATTAACTTTTCAATTAAATTGGAATGACTGCGTAATTAATTTATTTGCTGTTATGCTTAGGCTTATAATATTTTTTTTATATTCAATAATTTTATGATCGCAATAAAACAATACGATCCAGTTTACTTTTATCTAATATCCTTCGTCGGCACATAATTAATTTCTCACTTCAACAAATGACAAATTCTTAAATACATGCATCAAAAGATTTTCACGTCTTCAACTATTCGCAGTCGAATAAATACTGAAAATACTGAAACTTTATTAATTTACACTTTTTCCTCTACCTTCTTTGATACATGTCATAAAATCCAAAGCTTTTGTGTATTTATTCCAGAGATAGTATACAATGCACAGTACATTTTAAATATATGAAATGTACAAATACAACAGAGCGTCTTATTTTCTTCTTTAGCACTGTATGTACACAATATATGTTTAATTTCAGATAAGGTGAACCTACCGAAACGTTGCACACCCATCGATTTTGATGATTTTGAAACATGTTGTTGAGGGCACAATTTTGAATAACTTTTTCCTGTATATATTACTGGCGGTCGGCTTTAGCTTCTGAGATAATTGCGAAAAACTTTTGCTACTACCACGTTGAATTCTACATATATTCATGAACGCATCCGCAAGAGAAGCAAGTACAAGAACTTCTGGTACATGTTCCACGTGTATCAGATCACACATCACATATAACAAGTACAAGGTTTCACATGGGTCGGAATAAAGAAAGAGGTAAATTCTAGTCTAAATAAATAGTGAAACTGCAAAATGCACGTGCATTATTGTAGACATTGAAAATCTATGATCACGAGTATATTCAGAATCTTAAATCATTAATTTCTTTCTGATATCATTTTTGTCTCACTTTAAACAGAAAGAAGGTATTACTTGTTAGACTTACGCGAATCGTTCTACATACGTAAAATAAATCCCGTAAACATACGAAAATACATTGTTTGTATTAATCGTAAGTTACATAAACAAATTGTTTATAATTCTTACATTTTCTATTACCTTCAAACTGTAGTCTATTAGAAATTGAAAGATTAATAATCCAACTATTAAACGCATAGCTTGAAATAATTACATAAACAAGAGCGCAATGAGTCTGCAGTAATCAGCAGAAGATTAATATATAAACACAAGTTACTACAGATTTTAAATGCTATGAATACAAAAGTTTATTACATCTCGATCGTTTTTTACGCGGTAGACGTGTACCGTGCAAAGAAAGACTGTGTAAAATTAGAAAAACCACGCGAAAAAAGGAACCTTGTAAACAAAATGTACCGCGTGAAAAACAGATTTGCTGAAAAGTAAAAAATTTGTTTTAAAATATTTTTAATGCCCTTATACATATGTATATTATCAAAGATGATCAGAATGTTTTATTTGGACACATTTTAATCGCCAGAATTTCCTTGGTAATTTGTATGAAATAATCTGCGTGCTATAATCTGTGATAATATAATAATAAATTTGAACATTACTTTGCGCGTTTCATTTTACTCACGTTTACAAAATTTATATTCATAGAAGTTCAGCAGTTATACGTTATATTGACTTATTCAGAATAATTATTAAAATAATTCAAAATTACACGGTGGTCAATTTACTTAAGGAGTAAGCAAAAATGTTCAATATTAATTTATATTATACAGTTCAATTGAATGTTTATTAATTGAAGGAATTAAGAAATAACATACAAATATTCTTGTGGAAACAATTTTATTTGATTGAAACCCGAACTATTATAATAATCGTTGTTACTACATTTCCCATCAATCGTGTTACATCGTTATAACATGAATTACAATCTAAGAGACGTTACTAATACAATTGAAAACAATCGAACACTCATTTTATCTACATATGTCATACCGAGAAACCAATTCATGCACGTAAAAACAAACGATATCGCATACAATACGAATATACTTATTATAGTTCTAAGTATAAAAGTACAATAGAAAAATTAATATGCTTCAATCTGCAACTAAATGCATCATATATTAACCACAAACTTGCTCCACATGAACTTTAGAACAAATTATCATTTCAACATGAATAATATTAGGAATGTTCGAAATGCGACTCGCCCCCTATTTTTCCATTCGCATCCCGACTCCCGCTGGCGCTTTCATTAGTTTTCAATTGTATCCCGACTCCTGCTAACAAATACACGCAAACAGATTTTTTATGAAATATATTTTCCACATACCGCAATACCCGCTTAGTTTTGTCAAATTTGGGACCTTATTGTTGCAGTTCCTGAAAATGTGTATGTCCAATAATTCTGTCTTTAACTCGAATACTTCCAAAAAAGTTTCGAATTAGAGTAACAAACATTAAGAATAACATAGACGAGATGCAACAGCTAAGTACACAGAAATTGCTATAGTTAAGCGAGCATTACTTCAAAAGTTGGAGATCTACTCCGTGAACCAATTCTACAAAATGATAGGGATACACAGAAGCAAGTAACGAGGTAGAAAATGTTGAAATTAATCGGGTATTGCTGAATGTATATTTTAATGTGTTATAGCATATCAAATGTCGTTAAACAACAGGATTATTAGTTGGAAGAAAAAAAGTTGGACATTTCACGAGCTATTTTATATTCCACTTCCGTAAGATGAATATTGCTAATTACAGACAAACAGTAATGAAAATGTAAACAAACTCTGCTGATAAAAAGATAATGATAACAATACATTCTAATTCACAGTGTATTTAAAGTTCTATTATTTATAGTCAAAGACGATACAATGCAAGTGACTTGTTGTTTCCACTTCAGAGATGTACATTTCTTTTCACAAGGTGTTAAAATGATATTGAAGGAAAAAAGGTGATGATTGGAATGGACGTGTTATAATACAATAAAGACAGCAACAGCTAAATAAAAATGGAGATATTATAGTATCTATTCAAACGATCTACAATTCTCCACAATCAGCTACGACAATTCTCTTAGAGGTCTTTCCACTTTCAGATCCCATGGCCTCCAGCTAGAAAAATATTTAAAATGTTTACTAAAAACGGTACTACTATTAAAATAAAAGAATACAAATAAAAATTGCATACCTTTCTAACAACATCCATTCCATCGAAAACTCTTCCAAATACAACGTGTTTACCATCAAGCCAGGTTGTCTTGCTGCTGGTAATGAAGAACTGGCTACCATTTGTATTTGGACCAGCATTTGCCATAGACAGAACACCAGGTTCCTTATGCTTCAATGTGAAGTTTTCATCAGCAAATTTAGCACCATAAATGGATTTTCCACCAGTGCCATTATGATTGGTAAAATCACCACCTTGGCACATGAAGTCTGGAATCACTCTGTGAAAAGTGCTTCCTTTGTAGCCAAAACCGTATTCACCAGTGCACAGGGCTCGGAAGTTTTCTGCAGTCTTTGGAACTACATCGCTTCTTAACTAAAAATAATATTGATACATTTTAAACAAATTCACTCCATTTACTTACAAAAGTATATCAAAACCCTTCTAATAACAATTAAGTATTATAGATGAGTTTTGATACATAACCTAGATTATGTTACAAATTTAATACAACATGCTAATAATTTCTAAAATAAAAATTGTTTCTTTCTACTTTTAAGGATAGATTATAAACAGCCTTATTAAATCTTGTAACCTTGCAAAGTACATCATCTGCTATTAATATCTTTACCGAAGCAAATAAATTTACTATTAATACAACAATACATAAAAAATGTATTATATATGCATAATATGTATGTATGCATGTATATATATATGTGTATATATATATATATATATGTGTATATGTATATGTATATATGTATGTATGCTGATGTACATATTGTATGTGCACATGTATATATATATACATATATATATGTACATACATATATGTGTGTACATGTGCATATATATAGATATACGTTATCACTGATGAATATTAAATATCTTTTTATAAACTTATCACGATTATTTTATCTCAATTTTTAAGTACCTGTTGCTATTTCTTTCTTTAAATCTAATTATAAATTAAATATACGCGTGTACTATTTATGTTTACAATGGCATATGGATCTATTAAAAAGAAAAACAGTGGAAGCATAAAATTATTGCATTTTAAATTTACATTTGCAGAGAGTAAGTAATAGAACGTATCAACAGCAATGGAAAATTTTGTGGTATATGAAAAAATCAAACGTGTTGGTAACATGATACCCACATGACGGAAATTGTAGCATATTTCTAACAGGGCGTACTACATAATAAAAACAGAAAAACAGTTTCGATTGATAAATTGAAACTCTTAATCGGAAGAACGTGTATATTAATGAATTTAAGAGATATATAAGACGGAAGTCGCGTAACTGGCTTTCAAGGAAATCCAAGATGGCCAGTCATGCCGGCGTTCTAGCGACATACAACGAAGAAGTGAAAAACAGCTTCATTAATGAAAAGATTCACTCACCTCCATTATAATTCGGCCCACGGGTATATCGTCAGCCGTCATATCGAAGTAAACCATTGGCAAAGACATCTTGTCGGCTGCAACAGCAAACGTACGCGCGGAGAATGCAAAAGACGATCGTCTCGGCCGGGTGGTGGCTCTCAAATGGCTCAAATGACTGAAGGTCGAATCAATTGACAGCCGGCTGATCAATTTTAACGCCATGTTCGAAAGCTTTACCTACGAAATCGATCTAAATCCGCTCAATCTTACCTCTCCCAACAATAATACGATCTGTATTTTGTATTTGAAATTATTAAATATTATTTTATATGATTATTATATAATATATAGTGAATTTCAGTTTCGGAATGAGTATTATCAAACGGACGAACGTGCTTCCTGTATTCGACCAATCCGGATCCCGATTTCTATACTTGTATAATTCGACCAATCGTATAGTAGCTATTAGTTCATCCAACGGAAACAATTTTACCATATAAGGAAAAATTCCAATTAATTTGAAAAGTTAAACAAAGCTTGTAGATTTATTTCACCTATAACTTAATTTTTATTGTAGTAATTTTTTGTTTCTTTATTATATTTCTTTTTAGGGGTCATAAAATTCATGGATTTTTAAATACACTTATATACTTAGAAGAAGATGCCTTAAACTTCTTTACATACCATAAATTATTTCTATCAAAATTTGACTTTTATTCAAATTTATAATTTTATTTTAAATCAGTTATTGATTTTAGGGTAATATAACGTTTATTAGATATGCGGTAATTTCATTTTTACTATTTACTTGTACATTTAATTAATTGTTTTTTATTCATAATCTTGGAATATATAGTTTCTCTACACAAATTTCGATTTAATTCATATCATGAATGAGTATGCAATTATACTAATGTAACCAATCTGACCTAACCAAAGGTTGTTATGTCATCCATTGCAATCTAACTCTGGATGGCTTGTCAATGATGATTGCAGACCAATCACAACTCTGGTCACCTTTATTCCGCACTTGCGCCGGATCTGACGTTCAGTTACATGGCGCTTGTAATAAAACGCAAATTACTCAATTTTTACTATGACGTAATTATTAGATGAATTTGCACAATTACAAGTATTTAGTATTTGAAGTTCTTCTTGATATAAGCCTATCATTTTAAAACAAATTTGTATTGAAATGTAGAAACTCTCGTTTTTCGATTAATTTATAATCATTTTATCAAAAAGAGAGTTAAATACCATTTAAAATAAGCTTATATATAGATTACTATATGAAATCTGGAAAAAGTAATTAAAATAAGGTAATTTCAAACATGTTTATTTTACGGAATTAAGTCTTCGTGTCCCAGAATACATAAATCATTTATGTTCAATCCGAAAATTCAATTAATTGAGAACTCATATCTGAACTTTCGATAGGTAATTCCTTTTACGGTAATTTTAGTACAAGTTCAAATGCATTCAATGGAGATAATTACTCATTGGCGAATTTAAAAAGTTAGTTTTACGAAGTGTATCTTATTCGGAACTGAAAATTTAATTCACTTCCTGTCTAGAATCGTATGTACTTGATTTCAGTAGTTACAACTGAAAACATGGCGCCCGAATGAAGGACGCTCAGTTAAGTGCATGCAATACGTTGTTAAATTTATATTCTTAATAATATTACATATTTAGTAGGAAATGAGTAATCTGTCACCATTTGGGGGTGGTAAAAACCCACCATGGGTTCGTAATGCAGGTAAATTAAAATTAATATCTTATTGTCGTCCCGTGTGCAAGAAAACAACGTTGCCAAGTTTTCTATTATAATTTACAAGAAACGGATGAATGCATTTGTGAAATCATTTATAACAATACCTTCTACATTGTAAATGTTTTATAAAATGATTTACTGTTTTGTCCCAAAAAGTCTTTTGTAGAGGAAAAGAGTTGAAACTTTACTACAATCGTCGTTGTAATTACAGTTGTAAAAAATGAACTTTTATATTTTTGCGTAAGTGAAAGTATCATTTGTACATTTAAAAATTTTATATAAAAAAGCATTATGGATATCAATAGGTCAGGAAGGTAGATATGTGCATATTTTTTCATGTTTTATATTGTGTTATCGTATAACTTTTCATCAAAAAATTGTATTGCAGTGTTACTTTCTTTATTGATTAATTGAAGAATATTGTATTATATATAATATATCAGTGGTTAACATAATATTTGTATTATATGTTATTTATACAAACAAACAGTTAATTTCATGATACACGTTTAGCATATATTTTATTTTTATTTATATATAGGTCAGGGAATTCAAAATATTCAACAGCAAATGTTAGGTCAGGCAATGGGTGGCATAGGTGGACAACCTATGGTTCAATATCAACAACAAACTCAACAAGTTTATCAACAAAGTTTAGGGTTACAACAGGTCAGTAATTAGTAATAAAAATAAATTGATATATTCTTAGAAGTAAAATCTAATTAAATTAACATTTTGATATATTTTTGAACTTTTTTATTTTTAGATCAATATTTCTGATACAAAATATGTATTTATCCATTAACTGCTATTAATCCATAATAAAAATGTTTTGTTCATTTTGAATCAATTACATAATTTCTCTCGATGGTTTATGTTAATATTAAAACTATGTTTATAAAGTGTTTATTAATGAAATAGTTTTAATGAAAATAATATTTATTGAAAATAAGATTTATTGAATGGTATTGGATGTACAAATTTCTACAGATGTATCGAATAATACATATATTTTATAAAATAGCCCAATATAACAATGGCATCAATGGCAACACTTGGATCTAATTTGCCATCGGGTATAGCTGGACAGTTATATCCTCAAGTAGCAACTGTTTCGTACCCAACACCAAGAGCATTAAACACAAATGCATTTCAACCTTCTGTAGCTGGTGTTCCACAACAGGTACAACAAAATGTACCTTCGTCGTCCACCAAACAGAGAGTTTTTACTGGCACAGTTACCCAAGTATACGATAATTTTGGTTTTGTCGATGAAGATGTATTCTTTCAAACAAAGTAATGAAACCAAAATGCAAATATATTTACTGCCTTTATAATTGAAAGAAGTATAATACATAATATTATTCTATTTTAGTGCATGTGTTAAGGGATCAAATCCTGTTGTGGGCGATCGTGTGCTTGTAGAAGCATCTTATAATCCATCCATGCCATTTAAATGGAGTGCTACAAGGATACAAGTGCTCCCTATGGGAAATAATAATAGCAATTCTAATACACAGCAGAATAATCAAACTACCAGACAACAACAGCAACAACAACAGCCGCAACAAAATCGAACTTCTGGAACATACAATGCAGTTCCTCCACCTACTGAAAATCCTAATAATAGGTTAATAATAGAAACTTGTATTTGAATATTTCCAATTTATAATATAACATTCTCAGAACAAGTGTATAAATATTACTAGATTTACCACAAGTGCAGCTAGTGCTAACACAGTCAGTAATCGCAGCAAAGTTGGTAGAGTGAGGGAAAGATCTCCACGAGAGCGAAAGAATGAAGAGGACGAAATTGAAAGGAAAAGACGTCGTGAGGAAAGAATCAGGGAACGTGAGAAAAAAGAGGAACGTAGTCCATCAAGGACAAGAAGAAGTAAGTCTCCTAGACCAAGAAGGCGTACTAGAGTTGTACCTCGTTATATGGTCCAAATACCAAAAATAGCACTTGATTTGTGAGTATAGTTTTTATATGTCATAGCTTATATCCAATATACTCCTATGTAACATATACATAGTACATTCCTGTATACAATTTTAGGCCTGAAGCTGATGTACTTGAGATTAGGAGACGCTATCAAAATATGTATATTCCTAGTGATTTCTTTTCTACCAACTTCCGATGGGTTGATGCTTTTCCACCTCATATGCCGTTCGCTCTTAACAAACCATGTTCTTTTCATGTTATGCATAAAGATGTTGACCCTTGTACTGAAAATACAGCAGTACTAGAACCTTCTGATGCTGATTACATTTTCTCTGCAAAGGTCTGTCATATTGTACTTTAAATTTTATATATATTTTCTTTTTCTTTAAACAAGATAAGTTACAAGATTAGTTTGATTAAATTTTGTACGTTATTTAATAGGTTATGTTGATATCCATGCCTGCCATGGAAGAGATATATAAACGGTGTTGCGGTGTATCTGAGGATAGAGATCCAGATCGTGATTATGTACATCCAACACGTTTAATAAACTTCTTGGTAGGCTTACGTGGTAAAAATGAAACCATGGCTATTGGCGGACCGTGGAGTCCTTCATTGGATGGACCTAATCCTGAAAAGGATCCATCAGTTCTGATTAGGACAGCAGTGAGGACTTGTAAAGCACTTACGGGGATAGATCTGTCCAGCTGCACTCAGTGGTACGATTCTTCAAATACTGATATTTTAATTTCTATATTTCTTCTTAATTTGAGTAAAACGTAAAGGAAAGAGCAACGTGATCTTATTTAGTTTCTGTGTCCGTTATTCTTTCATTGATCGGTAGTACATTATCGAGTTATATTAGCAGAATTGAAATTCAAACTTGTTTCGTAATCTCATCTTGTCAAATTTCAAATTTATCTGGTCTATTCAATATTTGATATCGCATAAATGTATGATGTACATGTTTGTATTAAAGACATCGGATAGAGTGTTATAGCCTTAAGAAAGATCCTGCAGGTGTATCATCCGTGACAGAAAGTAACTTCTAATACGACTTGATAAACTAAGGTTGTAGTTCAATCTCTACAGTGGAGGTATGTATGTGTTGTATACACGACCGACCGATGGAGATTGCTGCACTGGATCCTGTATCGAGCACCCAGATGATGATATATACCTTGTGGCAGACAGATCATCACTATTGTTCTGTTATCGTTATGATCCACTCAGTCGTGCTTTATCAAATGGTCTCTACATTGTACGCTGTGTGTGGCTTTGTATGCAGTGCGTGGGCTTTACGAACAAGCGAGCGAGCGAGCGAACACTTAGCATATAAGGCAAAGCTAAGCGGGATTAACCTGAGTTGACGTTTGGGTATTGTTTTTCCTTGCGGCACAGGTACCGCTTCCTGGAACTCTACTACAGACGTGCAGAAACGACCCACAAGTCAGGGCGAGTGGTGCCCTCTCGCGTTGAAACCGTCATACTATTTCTCCCAGATGTTTGGAGCTGTGTACCTACCAGATTGGAATGGGATGGCCTGCAACTCAGCTATAAGAAACAACTGGAGCGAAAATTGCTACGTGCTGCCTCTAACCCCGACGATTCGGATGCTACCAATGACACTGATGAGGCTGCCGTCGCTGATCAAAAGGCACTGCCAACATCATCCCATATTACTTTTACCTTTTTATTACATTATATAATCGTGCAATTGTTTTCCCATTACTAAACTGGATTTTCAATAGGCTCTACTTGCTCATTGATTCCATTTTAAAGGAGTTTCTTTTCCTGTGGCTTTCACTGTTTACAATAGTGGATTTTAATAATTTCAATGGTATAGTTAGTAAATTACTAATTCTTAATATTTCAATTTATCCTATCACAGTATACAACTAGTTTTTCTTTAGAAGGCAGTATCATGAATGATAAGATAGAATTTTAATTTGTATATTATTTCATACATATATATGTATATACGTATACACACACACATATATATACGTATGTACACTTTTCGATATAAGTATCGTTTTTGTCACAATATATATATTCATGGTACATAATTCTTGTACTAAATTCATTAACAAATTATTGACCTACTTCTTACATGTAAAAAAAATATCATATGTCCAGTAATGCAAGATTAATGTAATGGTATAGATCATAGCATTTGAATATTAGCTTAGAAAAATCAATGAGAAATGTATTGCAAGTATTCCCTTAGCCACTGGCAGTCACATTGCATTAACAAGAGAAGCAAACAAGCCTAGCTCGGAGAAGAGCGCAGCTGAGCCATTCCCTTTCCTGAAACCTTCACCATCATTGATTAAATCATTCAAAAATTTCTTTTGATAATCGTTGTATACAACATTATTGATATTATCCATAACCTATCAACCACACAGACACCAGAGCCAGGACACTATGAGAATCTAGCAGTTACTTGAGTCATACTTGAAGGTCATCGTGAATGAAGAATCGTGTATATCATTACAATGTGAGAGAGTGGTGGTAAAATAGAGAGTGATGAAAGAATGAAGAGGGAGTGGTTTCGTTTCGTTATAGGGGCTGCTTCTGTTTTGTAGTTTCCTATCATTTTCGTTATTTCTCTGACATAATGGGTGATTTCTTTTTTTCAGGATGATACAGTGCCCGAGAAGAAGGACCCTACTCATTATTCTGAGTTGGATCCAAAATCTATGAATGTTAGTTTCATTTCCCTGTAATTATACTTGCATATAATTTAAATAGTAATAAGTATTCATTTGATACAGGTGAATGACCTAAGGCAAGAGTTGGCTGCTCGTAATTTAAATTGCAAAGGCTTGAAGTCTCAGTTACTTGCAAGATTAACAAAGACAATAGCTTCTGAACAAGCGAAGGAAGAAGGTAGACAGGATGATGTAGAAGAAAACGAGAAAGATGTTTCACCACCGCCAAAGGAAGAGGAGGACAAAAAGTTTAGAGACACTAAAGATGTAAGATTTACAGCCAATGATAACTAGAAAATAGACTTAATATTTTATAGTTTTGCTAATTTCTTTTTAATTGTGGATGATAATTAAACATCATATATAATCTAACCTTGGAAATTGATAAAAATTAGATGGGGAAAACAGAAAGAAAACATTCACTCGTTCTCAAAGTCGCTCAGTTTTATTTCGAATATATCAAAAGTATGATTATACTATTTCTGTTTTCTCCGAAAAGATAATTCTTATCACTAATAACGTTATAATTAATATTCTTGTATATTAGGTTTGTTTCTCGATATCTAGTATATTGACATTCGTTTTGTATATTCAAATAATATAATGCATTGGTATAATACGTAGCATGATGAAGATAGAAAAAAGCTGTGTGAACGTGAACGTATTGCTCTAGAGAAACGATACACTTTACCGGAATCTTCACACATTATCGTACATCCTTCCAGAATGGCTAAAAGTGGAAAATTCGATTGTACTGTTATGTCTTTAAGTGTATTGTTGGATTACAGGCCAGAAGATACAAAGGTACTGTTTTACACAATACTATACATTATGTCTCTATTGCAGGAAATTTTTATTGTTATTTGCCTTTAGGAACATTCTTTCGAAGTATCATTATTTGCGGAACTTTTCAACGAAATGCTGATGAGAGATTTTGGTTTTCGCATTTATCGTGCACTATGTAGTCTTCCTGAGAAACCCAAAGAAAAGGATGATGATAAGAAAAAAGACAAAAAAGACGATAAAAGAGACGAAAAGAAAGATGATAAAAGGAAAGATGATGAAAAAAAATGTGTTAGAAAAGATGATCGTAAAGATGACAAGAAAAGAGAGGGAAGTAAGGATAAAAAAGATGAAAAGGATGCGAAGAGTAAGATAGACGATAGAGATCGTGAAAAAGACAAAAATGATGACGATGAAGATGATGATGAAGACGAGTCCGATGACGATGATTCAATTAAAGATGGTAGGAAAGATAAAGACAAAGATGGACGGAAGAGGAAGACAAAATTGTATACACACGATCCTTACCTTCTACTATCGTTTGTTTACTTTGATCAAACTCACTGTGGATACATATTCGATAAAGACATAGAGGAACTTATTTACACTTTAGGATTAAATTTATCGAGAGCTCAAGTTCGTAAGTTAGTACAAAAGGTTGTAACAAGAGATTCTTTGCATTACCGCAAATTAACTGACAGATCGAAGGAAGATGATCCTAAGGAAGATAAGAAAGATGACAAAGACATTGATAAAAGTGAATCTTCTAAAACTGAAAGCGAAGAAGAGATATTACGTTCATTAGCACTCGGTACGAAATTTACATCCGTTTTAATTTTAAGATTATTACTCTATAAAGTTTGCTAATCATTCATATTGTTACTAGAGAACCATATCTCTCAAGCGTAACACTAATATCTTATTACTTTTTGCTAGGGAATAAAAAATTATTACCCGTCTTTGTTGGAAGTGGTCCACCTTCGAAGAGGGCACGACGAGATAATACACTTGCAGAACATTCTGAAGAATCGACTATACCTGAAGGTTATGTTATGTATAAAGGATCTTTACTAGACGTAGAGAAACTCGTCAGTCAATTGAAAAGATCAGAAAAAGCTCGATTAGACACCGAGGAACGCATGATGGAGTTGCAACATGAATTAACGGTGGTCAATGAAAAATCTACAAAACAAACGAATAATATTAAGATTCTGTCTGAAGATTTGAAAATGTATAAAGACAAATTAAGAAATACGGATGAAAAATTAAAAAAATCAACGGTAAGTATCAAACGATAACTTTTATTTTGAGTAGTAGGACAAGTTTTATTAATTAATGGTTCGACATTATTTATTGCACTTTGATCTTAATG